GAGTAGGAGTAGGCGTAGGCGTAGGCGTAGGCGTAGGAGTAGGAGTAGGAGTAGGAGTAGGAGTAGGAGTAGGAGGAGGAGGAGTAGTAGTAGTAGTAGTAGTAGTCGTGGTGGTGCTAGTAGTAGTAGTAGTAGTAGTAGTAGTAGTAGTAGTAGTCGTGGTAGTAGTAGTAGTAGTAGTAGTCGTCTGCTGCTGCTGATGCTGCTATTTCTCCTCCTTTGCCTTTGATTTCAGTTCTGCTTCTCCTCCGTGCCAGACCCCGCCGGCTCAGTGTAGGTAAATTTGGAAATGATGACATTAGTGAGTGAGGATCTAGGTTTATGTTGGGCAAAAGTCAAGGAGGCCGAAAAGGGTGAGGGCGAAGGCATCTTCAGCAGTTCATGAGGTGTGCTTCCGTCGTGGTTCTGTTCTGCTTCCTCCGCTGGTTCATTGTGGCAGCATTTTGGCGGCAAATCACTTTCGATTGGAGTTGCATGGTCAATCACTGACGAGCATCTTCTGAAAACTGTACGCTGTCACAAGGCTGCTGTTCCCAGTACACAATTACAATCAATTACAGGTAGTCAGGAGCTGCCGGCTGTTCCACAGGTGTTCTACTACCTTGGCTACTGCATCATGGTTCTCTTGACCATGGCGCGGGTAAGTTTGTACTGGACTTTTGCGATCATCAAGGCAGGTTCGGGCAGCATCCAACCATCGGTGCGGTTATGTGCGGTTCATCGATGTTTGCGCAAGCGCCAGAACAGCGTGCTTTCAAGGGAACCGTCATGCTCTTTCTGGCGATTGCAGACTTCTGCAAGAATTGTGGCTTGGCCTGGTTGTAAATCGGGTGAAGACATGTCCTGTTGCAAGTCGAGGGGTCTCTGCAAGCTCAGGTATGTTCATGTGGTTCATCCCTGACGTCTCCAGTATCGGAAAGGGATGCTTCTACTGTGTGTTCTGGCCGAAGAAGGGCCAGTGGCCAAAGGAGGCTGGCTCTGAAGAAGAGATGTTTTTTCTAATTGGGGTTTTTTTTGAGCTTTGGAGCTTTGTCCCAAAGGTGTGCGGCCAAGCGCCTGCTTTCGGAGCCTGGGCCTGGAGCTCGGCCGAGCCGTCGGTCACTGGTGGCCCATGCGCTGTGGCGGGCCCGAGGTGCCACCTTTCTGCCCACACTGCTACTAGTTACGACAAAGGCGGCGTGAACAGAAAAGACTGGCAGACTTTCTCTTTCATCGGAGACCTGGCAATCCGTGCTCGTCTGGATGCTGAAGATTGAACTTCAGATGCTAGACTTGCTAGACGACGCCATATACACATGCGATCATCTGGATTGATGCATCTTGCAAACGGGTGGCGTAGTGTATGTAGTATGGCGTAGTGTATGTATATATGTAGCCTCATCTTAAGTGCCCGATGTATACTTCGTTGCAGCTGTCTGGAAGCGGCTTATGGGCAACTACAACCAGCGCCATTGATGTCACATAAGCAACTTCCGTTTTATTCGTCAAGTAGTGTCGCAGACCACTTTGGTGTTACAGCACTCGGCTTTGCTATTTGCGAGGGTCACCAGCTTGCGCAGCAACATTCGGCATGCCAACAGCTTTCCAAAGCCACCGGTAGGTCTTCTACTCATTGCCTTACCTTGTCGCATGTCTCTCACCTACTCCTCCCGAGCATTCGTGCTTGCTGGAGAAGGGGTTGGCCAAAGCGCCTTCCCACGCCTGTGTCGCGAGTGTGGGTGCCTCAGAGGTCACACTGACAGCAATTCCTCACTATGCCACATTGTGGCATGCAAGATGATGTGTTTGCATGCTGGGTAGCAGAAGGACGCCATGTCTGAGGCTATGGTGCAGCCGAGACGCCCCAAAGATCGAAACAAAGAGTTCGAGGCGACAGAGCTGCAATCCAGACATGTTGCTGCAGCATCAATGTAAGGGCTTGTTCTGGAGCTGCCACTTTACGTTTCCACCTGAAGTTGTTGCTGACGCCATTGGGACCGGTCTGAGTGCAAGGCAGGGCGGACGCGCTGCTCCTTGAAGACCCATTGAACCGGGGGCCTACGGTTGAACTCAACTTCGTTGAGGCTGCTTGTGATTGTCAGAGCGCAGTTTTGCCTGATTATTAAATTAATTGTCCTGCAGCCGCAGAGAACGCTCCAGGTGCCCTGCTGGTGGGTGGAGGCGGATCTCCGGAGCTGCCGGTGACCTGGACCGGAGCATAGGATTCGCCCGGTAAACCTTACAGCTTGGCTTGTGAGGTGTGAGGGAGCGGAAGTCCTTCAGCGACTGCGCAGTGCTGCTGGTGGACGTTTGTAACGCTGACAGCTTTGATGCCGCGAGACTACGAGGCCGCGGCCAGCATCGGCCAGCATGGCCGTTTCCGGGCGTTTTATTTTCCAAGAGCTCCCAAAAGAAGCACGTAGGCCAGTGGGCCATGGCTGCTGGCCTTCGCTGCGTGACTGTGCGGATCTTGGACGCTTGGCGACTGCAGCGGGCAGCGCCGTGCGAACTTTCAGGTACTGAGCTTCTCCGGACCATGTCAGGGGAAAGCCTTCCCGTCCCCGTCCGGAGCCTCTGACTGGAGGGAGACTCTGCAGTAGGAAGCGTGCTCTGAGGCTACGTTCTCGGCTCGTGCAGCAGGAGAGACTTGATTGGCTCTCAGACGAGATGAGCCTGGCAGCACCCTTACTTTCCTTTACTTGCGTACTCGTACTCTTCTCCGAGTGCAGCGTTCGTCGTCCGTCTGGCTAGTGGAGAGATATCGGGAAGGCCTATGCCCAGGGAAACCGTGCTGTAGGCAGCAACTGGTTCTTTGTTGCAGCTCAGAGCTGCAAAAGTTGTTTAGTCTCATTGATGCATCCCATTCAAGGAAATTTGCAAGAAAAAGGCGAAACGATGGGTGGGCCAAGAGGTGAATGTTGTGTTTGCCTAGTGCAGTAGTCCATGAATCATGGGATCGAGGGAGAAGGGTATACGGGGTCCAACATGCAAGAGGCGATGTCGCCAGCCCTCCGGTCTTCCCGCATAGGGTGCGGCCCTCACCGGCCCTCATCCCACGGATGCAACAGAAGCAGCCCGAAGAAAAGTGCGTCCTCGTTGGTCGTGACATGTCGTGACGTGCCAAGACTGCCTGCAAAGAAATGTGTGCAAGCTTCACCAGAGATGGATTGCCCAAAGCGGATCTTCGCGACAACTATTGAAATACTACTGGAAATTACAGTAATGAGTTTCGTTATCAGGGTTTAGTCGTTCGTGAAGCCAGGAAAGACTGCATACATCATATCGTTGCGCATGTGACATGCTGGCAGTCCAGGGAGTTCTGCAAAATTCAAGTGGCGCTCACCAGGTGAAGCCTTCCCACTTCGACTGCACGCTGGAGGCTGTGACTTCGCTGGTGATGTTGTCCTCGTTTCACATCTGGTGTCATGTGCTTTCGAACCGAGACAGAGGCTGTAAGTGTTGAAGCCTTCGGCCTTTGCAGGCGATTGGGTCTGGGAGCCCTCAATTCCAGCTCGAGTGCCTTCCGCGCACTTGAGGGCTTGATCTGTCGACGTCATCATACAGTGGTCAAAGGCTATTCCGTCCCTGTCTCGAGGCTCTTCTTGAAAGTGCTCACGCTGCGGCTGCTGTGGCTGAACCTGGCTCCGATAGAGACAAGCGGATCCCAAGCCAAGGCCCGGCTGGTCAGATTTTGCTTCGCCGTTAGATCGCAGGTGAACTCATCTCCGTCGGTTTTGCTACACTGTCACATACTGTCACTGAGCTATTGCCTTCTGGCATGAGGGGTGTTCGCCTGATGCACAGAGCATGTCGAAGGGATCGTAGATCATCGTAGCGCTGAGAAGCACGCTGTCCGCACCGGTCCCCCTGTCCTGTCAGCACTTCCTGGCCAGCCTGCCTCGTAAGAGTAAACGAGGCACCCGCGAGCCTCTCCACGCCATCGTCACGCCGCTGGACCGGCCCCGCGCCACTTGTCATCAACGAGCATGTTTCAGCTGAGCTGGGGGATTCAAAGCACGCTCACACTTGGCAGATCTTGGCAGGCTGAGTTCGCGCTCGGACTCCGCCCTGCCCTCGTAAGGGATGTGACACCGGGACGCCGTGGCTCGTGTCCCTTCGCTAGGTCCCTGGGCGTCGCCAGCCCCATGCTCAGAGGCTCAGGCCGCTGCCTTCCTCGGCTGCGCTTCTCCCCAAGGCCGCGGCAGGGTGCAAGTCCAGGTCCGCCGCGATGTGCAAGCGCCCAAGCAGATTAGGATTGATTAAGATCGAAGAATCCAATGAATCTGGAGGCTCACATCCTGCCGGCCCGGTACATGCCTGGAATTCGGACGGCTCCCGATGGACCTCCCCGAGGCGAGCAGGTGTGATGGAATAGGAAATCGCAGAAGAAGGCCCACTCGGCCGTTTGCGGAGCAGTGTGGGATCTCTAAACGAAACCTGGGAGGGGGATCAGGAATCAGCGAGGGCAACGTGCATTCGAGCTCATGCGGCCGCGTGCAAGCACGAACTCTGCAACCCCGCGACCACCGAACGAATCCGACCCCCCGAGGCGCGGGGACCCTTGAAGAGCCCGAGCCCTCAGGTCGCACCTGGTGGGGATCCGAGCCCAGGAGTGGCCTTGCAGAGCCCTATAGCCGCCTCAGCATGCTTCACAGACTGCTGCTATGTGCATGCTCCTTCGAGCCCGGATGGCAGCATCCTACGCAGTTCACGCAGCATGCTTATCTCTTTCCTCGAGGAGTGTGTCTCCACGACGGCCCTCACCGCCTGTGCAGTGGAGTGAAGTAGCCCAGCATTCGGAGGGCTTGGTTTGCCGATGCATTGGGGCCCTGAGTCACGGGCTTCGCATGCCCAGGTTCACGCCAAACTGGCCGGAACCGTAGCCCCCTTCAAATCCGGCGTCGGTCCGAATCCGCAGGGCGTTGGGGTCCCAGAGCACAGGCATTTCTCCATCAAGGCTTCAAGTGAAACCCGGGAAGTCTAGCCTCGGCCTCAGGTTCGGAGCCTCAGGAGGCGATGGCCAGTGAGGCCGGGGAGGGCGGCATTGGAATGCCTCGGGTGCGAGCTGCTGCGCAGAGACTTCGTCCAAGGGCGAGGACGTGCGGAGCACCGATGGCAACCCGGCATCCTTGGCTGCGGCAGAAGCCAAGCGCCTCGCCATGGCCCCAGCAAGAGCCTGCATTCAGTTTTGCTGCGACGAGTCTGCAGGTAGCCGCAGGGCCGCAGGGACCCCTCCGTCGGCCTCAGCAAGAACAAGAGCGTCGAAAGTCCGTGGAGTTGTCCGGGACTGGGTTTTGTCCGTCATGCTTGGCTCCTGCATCTTTCGAAGCTACACGGAGGCATTTGCTCAGTAATGCTCGGAATGAATGGCACAGGACAACTAACAACGGAGCGCATCCGGAGGACGCAGGGTCCTTCGGCAAAAGGGGGCCTCTTGCTTGCAGAAGAACACATGAGTTGCCATTGCGTGGGTTTGAGGAGGATGCCCCGCTGGAGACGGTCATCAACCTGAGCACCTTAGCGGAGCGGTCTCGTGAGGTGCCGCAGTGCGTGTTGGTTCGTGGGGCAGGCCAGGAAGGAGCAGGAGTCTCGCAGGGAGTGTGCCGAGGAGAGCCGAGCGGAGCGCCTGCCGCAGGCGGGGCCTTCCAGATCCCAGGCCGGGTTACTCCGGGAAGCGTCCAGCCAGGCCGCGCGCTTTTCCTTCTGAGCCGCTTCCCAGGAGAGCCCACCTCGCTCGAAGCGTTCATGCATCTTCAAGGCGCCTGTGCTGGCCATGCCAAGCACATCTGAAGGGCCGATCAACAGTTCGCGACTTCTCCTTGTTCCCATGCCTTGGTTCAATGTGCTTTCCAGGAATTGCGAACCGTCATGCTCACTCTTTTGAAGCGTGAAGTCTGAAGCCCAGTTCGCCATCCCACTCGACATGACAGCAAAACAATACGAGTCGATAAGCCTAAAAGTTGTATAGAAGCAGCCTTCAATTACATAATGAAGCAGCTGCTTCGCAGAGCCAGCCGCCATTCGCAACTCCGGCCTTTACGGACTGCCGCGCCGGCACTCAGCGCGCTTCCTCGGCTGGGTGTGGGTTTGAGAGAGACTCGGGCGCCGACACCGTCAGCTCTTTTGGGGCCTCGGCCTCCGTTTGCAGGCTTGGGATGCTTGGGCTGGGGCTCCGGTTCCGGTACCAAGCGTGCGTTTGCGACGAGGAACCAGACGCACTATCAAGTGCTGGGCGTGTCCTCGTCAGCCTCGCAGGCAGAGATCAAGAAGGCATATCTCGGCGAAGCCAAGAAATGCCATCCAGATTTAAACCCTTCTAAAGATGCGAAAGAGAAGTTCCAGCAGTTGGCGGAAGCATACCAGGTGTTGGGCGACCCTGACAAGCGCCACCAATACGATGAATTCCTCCGCACAGGAACGTCGCAGAGCTTCAGTGGAGCGCGGAGTTCGCAAGGGGCCCAAGCCCAAGGCTTTCAGGCTGCCCCGCCGCCGAGCGACTTGGATCCCTTCGAGCTCTTTCGGGCTGTGCTGGAGGCCTTGGCTGGGAGAGGGAAGGATGGGAAGGGGAAGCCATCACTTTGTTTCAGAGATTGAGTTTGAGGAGCTCGGCTCGGAACGGCTCATGGAGCGCGTGCGCACGGTTCAGAAGGAGGTCGGCGATGCCAGCGTCGCCGCGCAGGCCGGCGACTTTGCGCCCGCCAAGGCCTTCATTTGGAAGCACAAAGGCCTCGCAGCCTCCGTGCTGTTACCGCTGGGCATCGTCCTGCGTTTTCCGGGCCTCATTGGAATGGCCCTGCGGGTCCTGGGCCTGGTCGCCGCGGCCACGTTGCAGAACCCAGCCATGCGCGAGATGTTCGCCAGATGGACTTGGCTCCAGTGTCGTGCTCAGCCGCTTTAATCACTTTAGGGAGGTGTGGTGAGATGTAGAGTACAGACTGACTCATCAGCAGCAGAGATGCACCAACTGCTACTGCAGCAGATTGGTGTGGGTGAGCCCTTAGCCCTCCAGGTGGCGCTTGCTGGTGCAAAGAGCTGCCAGGCGGGCTCACGAAAAGAAGCGGTGAGGAACAGATCGTGGCTCGTGACTCCTTGGTTGCAGAGACACTGCAAGGAGGCCTGAAGCAAAAGGCTGTCAGGCTGCAGGACATTGCAGGACCAGCCGTCAACGTCCGTGCCAACATTTCGACAGGTACCGGTCACCGTCCCTAAAACCCAGCCTCTCTGACATGTCTTGGCGTTAGCTTGGTACTTATGATCAAATCAAACTGTTGTGAGTTTCGGATCAAGCCTCATCGTTTCGCCACTTTGCGAAGTGGGCCGGGGGCCGACCGCGTGCCTTAGCACCATGTCCATGAGACTTGGATGATCTTGGACGCACTCGTCGCACTCGTTTTCGTGTGGTCCCTGCGGTACGGTGATGTGTCACCGCTGGACTCAGGAGAGGGACACTCAAAAAGTTCTTTGCCGAAAAGGGCATAGGCGCCGGATTGACAGATTACACGACAGGTTTCTGCAAACTCCTCGCATGTGGCTTGTAGGATTTCAATTCAAGAACGGTCTGCTGTTGTGGAGGTTACATAGCTCCTGATGATGGCAGCGAGGACGTGTTCATCCACTTTCAATCGCTGATAAACGGTGGCGCCTTGGTCTTGAGATTGTGTTGTGTAAATCGTTACCTCTCCCCGGGACAGGTGATAAGCACGTGTCAGGTAATTTTGGGAGAGGTCCAAGTTTGCCACCTCTGGTTCAGCTTTTAAAGTCTTCGGAAGGGAGTAGGGAGGAGTGCTTGGTCTTCGAGGCCCCGTTCTGCCCTTGTGTTTCTCGAGCGCGCCAGATGTTCTTCTTTTTTCGTTTCAGAGTCCGTGGACCATGGCGGCCTCCGCGAGCCTTGTCTTGCAGGTCCGCCCTGCAACTCCTTTCACCGGCTTGCATCAGGCCTGCCCACGTTTTTGCGGGGAGGACCACGGACCTTTACCCGCGGGACTGTCGGGACATGAGAGAAGTGCCTGTGTGCTGCTAATCGCCTCGCTTGCGGTGCGGCCGGGGCCGGGGCGGGACACTCGCCGTTGCCGCACTCGCCGTCGTGTACGCGAACGCCAAGGCCAAGGTTTCGGCCTTCCGGGAGGAAAGCAGAGCTGGACCACTGGCTTGACAGCCTCTCCTGTGCCAAATGCCTTGGAGTCATGGCTGGGTAAGCTTGATCCATCTATTCGTGAAGTCATCAAACGCATAGAGAAACACTATGGTCACCAAGCTTGGATAGTTGGAGGCGCCGTGCGTGATGTGCTGTGTGGCTACAAGCCAGCAGATGTGGATGTTGCGACTACGATGACCCCCGCCATGCTGCAGCAGATATTCCCTGATCTTATTATGACCGGTGCGAAGTACGGCGTCGTGACTGTGAAACATAAAGGCTGCCTGGTGGAGTGTGCGCAGCTCCGCAAAGCACCAACGGGTTCAGACGGGGCACGCCAAGAGCACTCCGAGCTTGCAGACAGTCTTCTGGAAGACTTGCGATCCCGCGACTTCACTGTGAATGCAATGGCTGTGGACATGACCCGCAAGGTGATTTACGATCCCTTCGGTGGAAGAGGCGATGTGAAGGATCGGCGATTGAGGGCTGTGAGCCGACCCGCCGAGCAGATGATGCGACAGGACGGTCTGAGGGTCCTGCGTGCCTACCGCTTCTGGGCGGCGTTCAGTGAGGTCCCTTGGATACTGCATGAAGGCCTGGCCACTGCACTTCGGGAGGTTGGAGGCCAGCTCTTAGCGAACACTGCCAGACAAAGAATTCTGAGCGAGCTGAAGAAGATCCTGAGCCGCCCCAGAGGTTGGGAAGCCATGAGGCAGATGGCGGAAGATGGGGTGCTTTCTGCCATCCTGGGACATCCTGTAGATGTGGAAGGCCAAGAGCTGAGCGCTCTGAAGGCCCTCTACACGCTTCCTCAAGTGACCGCATCCCTGGCACGCCAGAGGCCCAGGGCGCTGGAGAGGCCGGTGACGTACCGCCAAAAGCAAACCGGACGGAAGGGCCCAAGGCTCTTTGAGGATCCGCTGAAACGAGGAATGCCTGCCAAGAGACCGCAGCCCTTCGAATTCTACGCAGTGGTCGACTTCGAGGCCACCTGCTGGGAGCAGGGCCAGACGGCGACATCCCAGGAGATCATCGAGTTTCCGGTGGTGCTACTGCACGCAGCCTCTGGAACCTGCGTGGGGGAATTTCACAGCTTCGTCAGGCCGAGTTCCGAAAAGAGGCTCTCACACTACTGCAGGTGTCTAACAGGCATCTCCCAGTCCACCGTGGACGGGGCTCCCTACTTCAAGGAAGTGGTCGCCACCGTGTCATCTTGGCTCAAGGAGAAAACCAACGGAGCCGACATTGCCTGGGTTGCAGATGGCGAGTGGGACCTGGAGGTGCCGGCTCGCAGAGAATGCTGCTACCTTTACTCACGATGGCTGGGTATAACTACGGTATAACTGTAAAACACCATCTCCTAGTGACTCTAGTGACTCTAGTGCCAGGAGATGCTGCCTGCCCAGTGGAGGCGAAGCTTCGGGGAAGCCCGTATGCCTGAATCCTGGAAGCAGTTCATCGACGTGCGCCAGGTTTTCCAGCAAGTTCACCCAGGCATGCTGAGGCCAGGAATCGGAAAGATCCGGATGATGTGCGAGTATCTGCGCATCCCGAACTTGGGGCCTCTCCACTCTGGAATCGCCGACACGCGCAACGTCGCCCGCATCGCGCTGATGTTGATGTGGGAAGGTGCTGTCTGCAAGGCTTTTCCACCCAGAGATGCCCAGCAGCTCCCTCGCCCCTTCCCGTCACCACCGCCCAAGAAGGAGGTGAAGATGACGAAGGCCAAGGTCAAGTGCCAAACAACCTCTCGGAACATCCAAGCTTTCGAAGAGGCCATGACTCTCATGTTGGCACGCATGGAGGGTGACGAGGCTCTAGAACTTATGAAGCATTTGCACTTCAGCAAGGTAGAGCAGAGATTCGTCACGGAGCATATTCATTGCCTCGGAGAGCTTCCAGCTGCCAGGGATGAGGGAGCAATCCGCCGATTCCTGGTTGCCTGCGGAGAGGACTTCGCCTTCGCGCAGCTGCGCCTGGAGCGAGCCTGGCTCCTGGGCGCCAAGGAGGCGGAGCAGGAGCCCGCGCAGCCCGCGGAGCCCGCGGAGCCCGCGGAGCTCGCGGAGCTCGCGGAGTTGGAGGAGGCCTTGGAAGCGCAGCTCAGGGACAAGGAGGCCTGGGAGCGGCTCCAGAAGCCGCTGGCAGATGGCCGCTGGATCCAAAAGGAGACGGGCTTAGACTTGGACATGGTGGGCCCCATCAAGGAGTGGCTCTACTACCAGCAAGTTGACCAAGACCTAAAGTCACTAGAGGATCTAAGGGACCAGCTTCAAGGCCTGGGCATGGAGTCTTTGGAGATGCAGTCGGCGCCGATGGTGTCATGGCCACCGGACAGGACCTGCAAGCAGCTTCCTTCCAAGAAAAGAGATGCTGCAGTACCGGACTGCAAGAAACGAAGCATCGAACTTTGCCCCTTCTAGGTATCCCGACCATCCCTGCCTCAAGGCCTAAACCCAATCACCTTGGAGACGAGTTCCAGCAACTGAATCAGTGAGAGATTGCCCGGGCTCCAAACGATGGCCCAGGAGAAGCCGACATGATTCCAGGAGCAAAGCTTAGCTACGACTTGGAGATTAACGACCGAAATGGAAAGACAAAGGCCACGTTTTATCGTAGCAGACATCGCTGATGTTTGTTCGATCTTGATGCTCTGAGAATTGTAGAATGATTGTGGCGAGGCAGTTCGCGTGAAGGTCGAATCCCCTGGTGACCCCAGCTACTCGTGGAAAGGCGGTGGTGGCGGCGGCGGCAAAGGACAACACCAAGTGCTTTTTCATAAGTACAGACAGGATGCTGTCTGGGCTGGTTTGCTTGGAAGGAGGTTATGGCAAAGCTCCCGCAGGCCGTTTTGCACAAGCGTGGGAGTGAGTAAATCTGGTTTGAACAGCTCGGCCTGTTTTTTCGGGATTACCTCTCCGGTTGCAATGCTCAGAAGAACCGAAAGCAGAAAGCACGTTGAGTCACCCATGTTTGCCAACCGGCCAGGACGAAGCCACGGCACCGGCCCCTATGGCCAATCCTACGGAGCGCTCTGGGAATCAGGGATTGGTCAGGGTCTGTCATGCGGAACACAGCCGGCCGTGAGAATCCTTGCATACCTGGATCCCCGAGGAGGTGGCATGGGTGGGGGTGGCTACGAAGGCGGTGACGCTGCCTACTGGCAGCAACTAATGGCGACCATCACGCAGGCGGCGCAGGCGCGAGTGGATGGCTTTTTCAAGTGCGGCAGAAGCTTTACTGTTCCAGCTTACGGGATGCCATCAGGGAATGAGGGAATTTTATGCAATCGAAGCCTTTGGCTTTCGGGCTTTCGGGCTAAAGCTCTTTCCTGAATCTGCGCGTTGCCAAGTGCGCGAGGCAATGCAGGGTGGCGGCTATCAAGGGGGCCGGGGTCCGAGTAGCCTAGCGAGTGGTACAGCCATCCTGGCCATGCCGAGTCTCCGTGTCCCGATAAAAGAAGTCTACAGAATAATGACACGATTGCAATCGACGTCAGGTGGTGGAGGCTCGGAGGGAGGGTTCAGAGCGGAGAGCAGAGACCAACTGTGGAAGTTTTCGCCAGAGCGCACCTGCTCCCACTCATGTTTGGGTGCAGCCACTGACCATGACTGACCTCAGGCTATGGAGCCTGGAAGTGAACTTGGCGGTGCCGGCCTCACTGAGGTGTTGGTGAGACAGTCGCATAAGTTGGCGATGCAGGTGCCAAAAATCTTGAGACTGCCCTGGGGCGCACCAAAGCAGGCCTTACCATATCTCGACATTCGTGCCTCAACGCTCGGCCAGAAGAGCAAAAGTGGTACAAAGTGGTGCCAGTCGCTGCCAGATGAGAGCATGCTATCTGCACGTTTGCATGCGTAATGATCGGCCTTCTCCTTCTTGGCCTCTGGCTGCATGTGCAAGTATGTTGTTTCAACCAGCTTCTTGGAGCAACAAGTGCAGGGATCCCACGTGCTTGCAACTTGGCCAGGCCCACAACACCCAATTGCAGCCAACCTCAGAAGTAATCCCTGCGTGCAAAGCAATCGTCCAGCCCCCCATGACCGCTGCAGTTGCAGTCGCGGTGGGCCTCTTAAAGTCTTAGTGACTCAGCCAGTGCCAAGGGATGTCAGTCCCTCTCCAAGCTGTAAGGATGCAGGGACTCTCTCGCCGCAGAGGGCGCGGAGTGGAATGGCCAGCTCAATGCCGAGATCTCGGTGGCACAGCATCTCGGCGATTTCTTCCAAGTCCGATGCTGGAGGTCCTGGAGTTCTCCGCAGCTTCGTCGACGGGGTCCGACCCCATGGAACGACACCCTGCGGCTGCCGGGGAGCTCATTGTCTCTGACTGTCGCAGTGTTCTCCAAGAAACCTACGGGTGGAGGCCGCGCGAAGGGCCACGGCCTGGTGGTGGCCGGTGTGAGGTGAAAGTCCCAGCTTCGGTTTGCCATTCCGTGCATTCCCCCAAAGCTCTCCGGCTCAAGGTTGCGGACGTGGGCATGGTCGAGGCATCGGTCGCCCTTTTCACTCCTCTGATGCTTGACATCGGTTTTTGCCAGAGGCCATCAAGACCGATGCCTTGCGAGAGAAAGTGGAAGCCGAGGCTCCTCTTCGAACCTGTATCCTGAACCTGTATCCTGCATGCTCTCCACACCGAGTAAATGTTTTTGAACCTCCCGCGAGAGGCAGCGCGAAGTATGGAGGCATCTCGGGAAAAGACCATGAAGAAGCCCCCCAACAGGACCTCAGAGTCATGGCAATGAGAGTCGACGGCACTTTCGTACATCGAACCGGAAAGAAGCGAGAAAGGGCTCGCAATGTTGTGGGGCCGCCATGCAAACAAGGCTGTGCAGTGCTGCCAGGACCATGCGACAGGCGGCGTCCGTCGCCTCCCCTAGTGCCAGGCTCTTACCTGCTTGCGGTGTCCAAGCGTTCGGATCATGGACTTCTACAAGTGTGGGGCGGATGCGGCCGGGAGTGCGAAATCCAAGGCGACACTCGCAGCGACTTCGGCACTCACAGGCCAGGCTTCGAAGTTCCAGGTCCTTGTTTGGGTGGGTGACTGGACCACGCTAGGTAGCGATGAATCAGCCGGCGCCTCATCAACTGGCTTGTACTGCATTTAGTGCTGCAGAGCTTTCCTTTGACAGGCGATCAGGAGGGCAGAGCAGCTGGACGGACCAGAGGCGAGGTCCCTTCGGAAATCCGAGTCAGCGGTGTTTGGTTTAGGTCCCTGTGCAGAGTAATTTGCGGTGCTGCTTTCCAGGCTCGACGCCGAATCGAGCTGCAGACAAAGTTCAACAAGGCCGGACAAGGGTCTGAGAGCGAAAGTGCAAGGCTCTTTGCATGCAGATCTAGCTTGTTGCATTTGCTCACGTTTGCTTGCTTTGTCAGTAGCCCCGTACCTTGACCCGCGAGGTTGAAGTGGTGCGGCAGGCTGATCAGAAGTTCATCCGAGAGCGGGCAGAGAAGCACTTCGGCCGGGGTTTTGACACCTGGATTTTGAAGATAACGCGAAGCGATGCCGCTGCCCGGAGAGAAAAGGGCCCCTGTTGAGGGCCAGGAAGGAGGCCTCGCTTCGATGCTCCAAGAAAGCCAATCTGTGCGGACAGCGAGCACCGCAAAGATGGGACCATGTTCGGACTTGGACAAAGGCCCAAATGAGAAATCCGGGACCCGAGTTCAAGCACGAAAACCATGGCAGCCTTGTCCACAAGTGTCCTTCTGCCAGAAGTTTACGAACAGCTGTGGAGGGAGGCTACAGCCACGAAAAACCACGTCGTAGTCAAATGCAGGCTCTTCTCGTTTTAGAGTCTGGCGACTTCAAGTGGTAAACTTTGACATGGGAGAGTGTTTGCACCAGTTTGTCGGGAACTGAGGCACAAGACGATGCGTGACGATCGCTTCAAGCGCCTCGTCGATGCAGTCTGTGATCATGGAGGCCGTCTCCACTCCTTGTTGAATTTTGGAGCATTCGTGGACAGAGGAGAGCCTTGGTGCTGAGCATCGCCCAGCCTTGAATCTGAGAAGATTCGTAGGGTGCGGCAATTCCGGCAAGGCCTTGCCATGGAATGCGCTGAAAACCTTGCCGCCTTCGAGCAGCGCTATCAGTCTTCCCGGCTCTGGTTTCAAGTCATTGGGCGCCCGGTCCGCCTCACTGCCTGAAATGACGTCCTGGAAGGCAGCGTCGATGGGACCTGTATGCCCAGTGGGACGAGCACGTGTCACATCCCCTGGCTAAGCAGGCCCGTATGGATGCGTGCAGTCCATGCAGATCGGCACTCACTGGATGATAGGCCTTTGACTACATCAACCCAGCAGACCGTGTAGCGCAGCAGAAGCTCAATGGCTCGAAATCCGTGAGTGTGTCTGCCACGAATTACTTCATCGGGCAGCACAGCTTTTCCCGTCGTGGCTTGTATGAAGCCAGCCAGGCTGGAAGCTCCCGCACGAGAAGCCGCAGCTGAAGCTCGATGTGTCAAAGGCCTGGCTTTGTCTGGTAAGAGCGGATGCTGACCCCTCCAGCTGCGAGGACCCCGCTCGACGTCAGCTTTACGACACGGAAGCTGAGAAAAACTTCCATGAGGCCAGCAAGTACAACCTGCCGTTTGCGGGGTCAGTAATGAATTACGCACGCAGACTTTCTGGCAATTCCAGTTTCCGAAGGCGCCGCATTCCTGTGAGCCCTTGGCTCGAGAAGAGCTCTGTGTTTCAAGTTTTGGGGTTTGCCCAAGAAGGCATAATCAAAATGGTTGCCGTAGATATCGCCAACATGGTCAACGGATTACGGAACCTGATTGTGTCTGCCATCGTTGCACAGCAGAAGCAAAGTAGCTTGTTGTGGTCGCGGCAACACGAGCAGGATGATCTCACCGGGTCCTTGCAGAAACGAGTTCAACGCTTGGAAAAGGCATTGTGGGACAGGGCATACCAAGCGCTGCTGGTGCGTTAGCAGTTCATTGAGGAGGAGGTGCAGAATGGAAGGCCGGCCGAACCAGCATGGAGAGATGCTGATGCTTGGAACAATGAAGACCGCTGGGCCAAACACCAGACGGACCACCAGAGTGACTGGACCTTAGGACTTAGGATGGCATGACTGGAATGTACGTCGTGCTGGAAGAGTGAGTTTGGGGCAAAGACGAGCACTCGAAGATGGCTTTCAACGCGTAGCGCTACTGAGGCCTGCTGGCATGGTCAGGTATCCTGGCTCGTACATGTCCCAGCAAAGAATCGACAGACGGTGCCCTTTCCAAGATGGACGAGGCCAGTCTGGTGCGCGGACTTGACCTTTCGGCCAGAGCATCTTGCGTCCGGCGATCACTAGAGGCTACGTAGACCATGTCAAGTGCAAAAGAGTTTGCAGCTTGGTGCTGCAGCGTGTGTTTTTTCTCCGCTCTCCCGCCGTGGAGGGGCGGCGTTTCTGGCCGCCCACACACGGATGACATAACCTATGGGATGCATTTCAACATTTGCCGCCAAGATTGCTTGTTGTGAAACGTAGATGGGTATGGCGACCGGGCTTCCGGGATGTGCCCCCGTTCGGACTCAGTTTCCGGATCTTTGAAGACCAGCGTTGTATTTTCCGTCTTTGACGGAAGTTTATAGTTGAACACAACCTTCACTCGATCCGGAAATCTCCCCGGGACCATTCAGGCCGAAGGACGCGGAAGGGCTGCGGAAGGCGATTGCACCGCGGAAGGGTGCGGAAGCAACGAATGCGTAAGCCGTCGCGAGCGAATGCGTATCCGCTCTTGTGGAAGGGTCGCTTGCAAACGCGGTGCGTGGAAGGGACAACATGCAGTGACTGAGAAGCCTGCCAACAAATCGATGTGCCGAAGCCTGCGGAAAAATGGAAGAAGGGTTGTGTGGCTCCAACGGGTGGTAAGCTAGATTTGACGGCGACGACGGGTGTTCGGGTGATTTCAGGTGTACCGAAGATGTGGGGACACGCGTTGTGGGGTCTGGAAGTTGATGAGGGAAGACTTGGTAATCAGTGCGTTGCTCCAGGATGGTGTGCAATCTAAGATTTCGTTGTTTGTTTCCAGCTTATGGCACCGCTTGAGAATATCTATGGGCATCGCGAGCGTGTCCCTAATCGAAGGTGGCCGAGACCGTCCTTGGCCGCAGTCGCAGCTCCCCGGAGATCCTGCGGCGTTCAGCCATGCGGGACCCGCAACAGCCCAAGACGAAAACAACCCGCTCGTAACATCCCTTGCTGGGACACGCCCCCCAAGTCTCCAAGGCGTGCCGTGGGCACGCGGGCCCTGAGCCGACCCGTGCTAGAACCGACCGTGCGGCACTCGGATCTGAGATCGGACCTTGAGGCAGGCTATGGCTCGTGCTCAGGACTGGGGCCAGCAACAGTTGCAGGGAACACTCTTCGGTCGCTTCGCGCAGGCAGGGGTCGAAGGAGCGGGGTGGCCAGGCTCTGCGGCTGTAAAGCGTCAGGCGTGTGAAGAGGGGCCCAACTTCACCCGAGCGCGGCGTGGCGGGACGAACGTCTTTGTGCCTGACGAGACTGACGGCATTGAGGCCGTCGGCTCCTCTGAGACTCGCGCAGGGGGGGGAGGAAGCTTGAGTCTTAGGATGTACTAGGTGTCTGTCGATCTGTGTCGGCTGAGGCTGGCACGCGCTTCAGCCGCCTGCATGGTCACCATGACATGGGCATACTCCGTGGCGACACGGGCTCACAGGGTGAGACCTCGAATTTCAAAACCCATGAAGGCAGGCTGCACTGCATTGTCCAGACTGTGATATTGCAGTCGACATCCCGGATACCCGCACAGGAAGCTCTTCGGGCGCTCCGGCACAAGATCATTTCACTTTCCAGCACAGCAGGGAGATCACAGACCTCGAGTTCCCTTTGGGAAAGAAGGCATCTTTGCTCTAGCACAGTGCTGTCCCTGCTGCTCAGATTCTCGAAGGTCTTTCCAGAGTTCCACTGAGCAAAGGGGTCCAGACGAGAGCTGCCGGGAAGGTTACGTGGTACTCGTAAGGGTGGCATGTACGCTTGTCATCATATCCGATCTACAACCATGACCTGCAGTGGTTTTTGCTTGATTAGTTGCTAGTGTGTCACTTGGGATGCGCCTCTCGTCTTTCTGCTCTTAGCTTATCCTGCAGACTTAACGCCGCGATCATCATGTGCAACGCAATCTTGCAAACATGAGACCATGTGTTGCATCATGAACGTCGTCACACAGGGAGGTACGTCTTAGTCACAGGAAATGCTGCCACAGCTCGACAGCAGCCCTGTGTGGGACTAGCTTAAGATGCTTAGATAATTCAGACCGGTGACTGTTGCAGGTAGGCTCCCAAGGAGCCGAACCTGTGCACCCTCCCATCAGGAGTTGAAGGCAGCATGCTCAACATCTGTCGTCAGACTTTACAAGGCCCTATTCATCCTAATCCTGCATCGAACATGCATTGGCTATCTGCTCCACCCCGTGGTGTCGCGAGGCCTCCTGTCGCCTAAGGTGATGGTCGGCCAAGCTGCCGATTAGTTGATGCCGGTCAGCCGGTATGTTTGTGCAAGAAAAGATCCTTTGCTCAGTTGGCATTCTGCGTCACTTGGTACTGCAGATGAAAGTCCCAATTTTATGCACTGTTTAGTCGCTCTCGCGCATGCTGCATGGTAGGACCATGGATGAGAAATCCAAGTTGCCATCGGGACGCCTATTGTGCATGCTTTAGTAATATGACTGGTTCCACATCGAGTTTGCCTGAGGTGGTGTGTAAGGCTGACAGGTGTTTGGCATGACGGCGTGATCGAACTGAGCATCCCAACGTCCACTGACGTCCACACCGTCTTCCGGCAAGGGCGACTGATTGTGGCAGAGTCCAGGGAAGGGACTAGGCTGTTTAGTTTTAAATGAAGGTTTGGCGAAGGGTGGGGTTGGCTCTGCAGTTTTCTGCTTTCAGCGTTTAGCTTGTAGTTTGTTTTTTTGGTTTCTTGCTTTTTGTCGTTTGCTTTTTTCGCTTCTGTTTGTTTGCCTTGTTGCTTTTCGGTTTTGACGTTTCTTGCCTTCTGTTTTTGTTCCTCTGCTTTTGCAGTATTCTCTTGCCTCTGAAACCCAAAATTTCAAAGCCCCGAGCCCCGAGTGAAGTTTGAGCTGTGGGCTGGGGGCCGGTGTCAGGTTTCATTGGGTATTGCCGCTCAGGGTCTAGTTTTTTTGAGCCGGTAGACCTTAGTACTTTCCCCTAGATATCGCCTCGATCAGAACCATCCAGTCGTGGAGCCCCTGACGGCTTGAACAAGGATCTAGAGCTGCATCAGCTTTTCGGGTGTCCGCTGAAAGCCATTGTGCTCTTAGGGATATCCCATGGCTTTAGGTGCGATTGCCGCAAGCTCTGAGGTGCCTTGAAGCCGAGCTTGCCGTCCGGCTGTGGTGCACAAGGAGGGACATGCAGAATTCAAGAGTTGGAGTGGCGAGGCCGAAAGGCTCTGCAGCTCAACGGGTTCTCTGCTGCGGAATTGCGTTGTGTTGATCCTTGGCCCCTCGGCTCTGGCTCAGATTCAGTCAGCATTCCCGAGCGCCAGCCCTTCGTCGCAATGTTCGGCACTGGAGTAGCTGCTGGACATCCAAACATGCAGGTGCGACCGTGCAGCAGTAGGACAGGCGCGACGAGAGGCAGAAAGTGTGTGTGTTGTGTGTGCTCGCTACAGGCACGTCTGAACCAGGCCATTGCCCAGCACAATCCCAACTACAAAGCGCTGTATGTGTCGTGGAACGACAACCAGCGCCAACAGGGCTCATGTTGGGGCAGCAACATCACAGACGCACGCCTCAAGGGGAAGGCAGGACTTGTGATAGCCTTGTAGACCGCTGAGTCGTCCTGCCCTGTAGAGGATGGAGAGGACTTTCTGGTGCCTTGCTTGCAGCCTTGCAACAGCGTAGCCCATCTGTCCAACAGCACCGGGCATCAGTGTGGTCCAAGTTGACCCAGGTTGTGCGGCCAAACAACTTCAACGAGCGAATCGGGAGAGTAAAAGCGTCTGATGTGGCACTTCTGGTAGGCAGTGGAACAAGCCTCCGGCCCGTCACGTTGGAGGAGTACCTGCGAGATTTCCATTCCCATGCTGCATATGCTGGTTCGGTTCCTGCTGGAACCTCGCTTCTATCGGCAACACGTGATCAAAGTGTTGGCATCCGGTTCCAGGCTGTATTCCTTCCAGTCGCTAGCCATTCATCACTCTTCGGGTTCCCTGGGCCGAAGGCCAAGGAGTTCTATCCCGACACCTACAACTACCAAACGAAAAGTTGGGAGGATCCACGGAACTTGGTGCTTCTTTGCACTTCTCAGGGCACCTTCGTGCAGCAGGATGGGCCAGGGAGTGTGCCGCAGTTCTTGCACAGCTCCGAACCGGGAGGTTGGCGCAAGAAGTACCTGGAGGCCGCGGCGACGCGGCACGGGGTTACTATGGGACAAACTGAGACCGCAGAAGAGAGGGCAGAGGCCTTGCGCCAGGGCAAAGCAGCATCTACGGTCATTGGGACTAGAGCGATGGGAACAGGCTTCAACCGGCTGATGACGGTTCAGATCCCGATGAAGCAACAGAGAACTTTCGGCACCAACAATCTTTTCGGAGGACCGTCCCCCACGGCATGGGCTCCCACATTCCCATTCTCCACGACGACAAGCAATTGCTTCAGCGGTGGCCCAACGCCAGCCGCCGGACCCTGCAGCGGGGCTCCAGCTCCTATGGCCTTCGGAAACGCCCCAGGCGCTTGTTTCGGTGGATTCAGAAGCACAAACTCTTTGTGCCAAGCACGGGCTCAATCTGATTCTGCGCATGCCGCTTGCGTGTCGACTGGGTCGGATGCAGGACCCATGGACCGCCTGCGCATGGAACGCTTCGAGAGGGACGAGGGGTGTTCGGTGACCATAACCGTACAATTCTATTTCGTCGTCAGGGAAGGCCATAGCATTGATGAGTCCGATATCAGGCGCGCGGTGGATATTTGTGAGGAAGCTTACAAAGGATGCTCATGGGACGGCAATCTCATGGATGCAGGTTTTCAATCTGCTTTTGCCAAGAAGGACATGACACCCAGTGATACGATGAATCTCTTGAGTCCGTCGTCTTCTGTGCTGGTCTTCCCTGGCAGCGACTCTGATGTGCAAAAGTCTACCTGGTTACAGCCACCATGGCCATCAACACTCTCGAACTGCTTCGATCCCCTCGCTGGTCTGGACCAAGATCTCAAATCTCTGCTCTGCAAAGTGCCTTGCACAGAGGAAGGATACGGCTGGCTGCATGGCACAGCTTTGAGCCAAAGCGGCATTCGTTTCAATGTAATTAGGCCTGGAGTGGGTGACTTTTCGATCGATCTTCATTAGCCCAGCCATTGTCTTATAAGGAGCCTGCTGGAGAAGAAGCAGCAGCTGGATGCTGCGTTCCACATCTTCCGTCTTGCGAACGACCTGCACTTACAGATTCATGGGCTGCCCGGTAGCCATTCCCTTTACAACATGGCGTGTTGTCAGGCAGGTGCCAAGCAGGTTAGATTTCAGACCCTCTGTCATTGCACACTGGAAACAGGGTATTCGCATGTTGGTGTGTCCTCCCTGCAGAGTCTTTCTCACGCAGGCCGTGGCGGTGTCCCTCCAGATCCAGCAGTACCGCAGCGCGTGCCCAGGAGCCTTCGACCTGGCGAGCTGCTTGCAGGTCCCAGACAGAGCAGGCGGCTGCGTTGCGTGCTGTGATTTCAGCGATTTCAGGGCAGATACTACTTATTACATGCACCTCATGACATATCCGAAGCAGAGGTGGCGTGGTGGCACCGCACCTCCCACCCAAACCTGCCTTCGGAGCCTCGGTGGCCATGCTTTGCGACTCTGCCTGCACATCCATAAAATGTGCTGGACTCAAGCCATCTCAAGCCACTGTCCGGTTACGAGAGACTGGTGTGGAAAGCACATCGTCTGGTCTTTGCTGTCTGTTGCAATCTGCTGCAGATGCCGCAGTGCGCGTGAGGCGATGCCCGCCTTGATGCTGCCCTGGGATTGCTCTCCAGTGCGATTGGAGCTGGCTGGCGGCAGCATGCTCACATGGCCACTGCGGGGGACTCGGTGTGAACCCTCTTTCGTGTTCAGGTTTTGCACAGCTTGAGCTGAGGATCCAGATCTGCAGTCAGTTAGAGAGCTCCGCAAGCCGCGCTTTGATGTTCTGGTGAAGCTTGCCCAGACCACGGCTCAGGCCTTCGCATAGCTCTGTTTAGCTCCGGGATGCGACTGACTCGCGAAGATGCAGTCGTCAGCTGACCCAGGCCCCCCCCCCCTCAGATCCCACCACTCAGAATACTGAATGGCAGATTGTGCAGATTTCAGCCGACTGCTGGGCTGCGTCGTCCTCGCAGAGGTGTACAGGATGCAGTCCAGGGTTTGATCTTGTTCAGCACGTGCGAAAAGTGGCAAGGCTTGTGGGGAGTGACAGGTCCGACTGAAGTTTCATGGCTCGCAGACGTTCGGCTCTTGCCACATACGGAGTGGCCCTCCCAGCCATGGCGACTTGGGCTACTCGCTGCTTGGCAGCGCACACGCTGAGTCTATGGTGCGTGTGCTTTGCGGAAATAGCTGCTGAGAGCGCTGGAAGGCTCACGCACGATGAACAGGATAATTAGACAGAGTTAGCATGTTTGGGCATGTCTTCCAACATAGAGGGCCCAAATCGTTAAGGGCATCGCGTCTTCTCCCATGGACTTCCCGCGACAGTGAGTGAAGGCACCAGCCTCTCGCACTTTGGGCGACGGTGGAGCACAATTCCTCTGCAGAGGCCTAGAAACTGCACTAGTTCCAACACAGTTGGCAGAACTTCGGACAGTTTGGTCGCGTTATTGCAGCTTGAGAGTTTGACCTTTCAAGCAGGCAGCTCCGACTTACGCATCCATGGCTGGAAACGATCCTGCTTCTGGCAAAGATGCTCGGATGAAGTTGAGGTTACGTTGCTCTGTGTTGCGAAATCATACGTTGAGAGCCTCGTCCGCTGAGTGACTCGGGGACTGGCTAAGCTCCACGATGGTCGTTTTCGCTTGCGAGCCGAGGACTGGAAATCTAAGCCCAAGCAGCAGGTGAAAGCGTGGAACAACAGCATGCAGCACACGTATCATACCTACATTCCTGGCAAATATCAAGCTTTCCCATCCAAAGTTGCCAGTATCCGTGCCGACACGGCTGGGTCAACGAAGGAGCAGAGCTTCCACGATTACTCCAGGTCGTATGGAGGGCTTGGCCAGATGGGCGTGCAACAGGCCAAGCACGCAAAGCATGGCCATAGTAACAAGCATGCAGATTCGAGCGATGGGAGCCACGATGGCCACGAAGGCTCCGACGACTACCAGCACTTTATGCCTGACTTTTCAGCTCACGATAAGGGGCCTGGCGGCGACGAGCAGCTTTCGAGCGATCATCTTGACATGCGTGAAGATTACAAGAAGTACATGAATAGCTACAACACACACGGGCCCAGCAACAAGTACGTGCCCGATTTGGATGAGCTGCGTGAAGATGAGCGTTCCGACTTCATCCCTTCCGGTTCTGAGGAGCCAGCAGCATCTCCCAGCCGATTCCTGTTTACACAAGCAGAGCCATTTTGGACTTCCAGTCGAGTAGATAGTAGTCCAATCCACAGATTTGTCGAAAAGATGTCACATGGGTTTCCAGGCAACTCCCTGCGATCTGGAGACCATGGCGAGGACACATCCACTGGCCAGGCCCAGCGATGGTCGCTGGGCAGCTACATGACGCTCGGCTTCAGGTTTCCAGACAAGAGCATGTTGCCCGTTCTGCACTAGTCCGGGAAATTCCAAGGCATAGGACCGGCTGGAAGAAGCAGCTTTCCGGGGTCATCCCGTCCTTTGTGCCAGGGGAGTTTGCCTCAGCTCAGCCGCTGCTTGGTTGAAACGGGCGGAGACACGTCTCATGCTCTTCACAGTGCTTCATAAGCCGTGCCTAATGTAAGTGATTTAGTGATTCTGCTTTGACGGAATGGCGGCACTACCTACAAGAATGCGCAACTTGCCAGCTCCTAAAGTCCCGTTCTCTACTCCAGATGAGCATGCAAGCAATCTGATTCTACATTGGTACAACCACAACATGCTGCTCGCTTCCAGGGCGCCGGCTGCTGCATCCTCCAAGTTCTTGGCACGTCCGAGTGTCGGCAACACTGCTGAGGATGGGGTCTCTCGCGCCCCGTTGATCAACTCAGGGTCACGTATGCAAATCCCGCGCTGCAGGACTCGGCCGATTGGTGGCAGCTTCCAGTAGTGCCGCTTTCTGGAATGCTAGATGTCACCACACGTCCAAGCTTGTCAACAGAGTCTTGGCGAACAAATGCTCCGACGATGCTGCTTTCTCAGGATATTCGCTGCACTGGCCTTTGCGACGCTCGTCCGGGGCTGGGCATGTGCCGCTCATTTGCCAGGGGCTTTACCTCTACGCTGTTTGCACCGGATCCTGAGGTCAAGGCATCTAGCAGAAGGCGAGGCCGTGCCTTGAGCCTTGAGCTTCCATGCAATGTCTTGATTCCTTTGAAAGCCTATGAACAAGACAGCCATGTTGCAGGACCATTACCCCTCCGGAGCAACTGCTTGGTTGAGATGTCGGTCCTTGGCTGGCCCTCGCCGTTTGGTTGCCACAGAGGTATTGCCCCCAGGGACACGGTGGACTATCACTGCCGCCCTTCCCTCGAGATTCCGAGGGAACATACGGCCTTGGGCTTCGCGTATCGCTGAGTGAACTTTAAAACATTTTGCCTAGGAAATTAGGTGCCAGTATGCCACAAGCATTTAAACTCTTTTGCACAAGTGGGTACGTCGTACTGCACTCTTTGCCGGATTTTTGTCCGGCTTGAACTCTCGACTTGCTCACAGCAGTCTGGCTGTCATCGCAGGAATCTGACAGGGTAGCGTAGGAGCGGCACAGGCACCTCGTTACTCATCCCGTCTGAGCCTTTCAAGATGTTCTGGTGACCCTCGATTATTTTTTGTATATATAGTGGTTTGAATGCACTGTACCCTCAGCAGCCTTGGACCTCTGTATGAGAGCATCTCGAGCTTCAGACATATCTCTCTCCCTCTTGACCGGAGTGCGCTTACAAAGCTGCGCCATCCGTGCTATCTCAGCCCATTAGCCGGCCTATAGATGCATCCTAATGTGAAGCCTCGATTCAACGTGACGGACGATGCCACGACCTTCATCCTGTTGCGGTTCTGCATTCGCAAGTTCGCTTCCCGGGCGTCTCAAAGCTGGGGTCTGCAACCGACCAGGGACAGTCAGTTGCCCTTGTACAGATCACTGACAGAAGGAATGGCCGTTCTGGACGTGCGGTAGAGAAACGGAAGCCTCTGCTCGGATTGCATCGGTTTTGTTGCAGACGGGGGGGACTTCCGACCCATTGTGCCGAAGCGGTAGGAGTGCCAAACGCGGCTGAAGAACTGCGGCTACAGGTCAGGATTCCGGAGGCATGGGCAGAGCCCGTCATGCTGAATTCAGCTGCACATGACAGTACTTGTGATGCGTGAGCGGTGTGTTTCTCACGAGCTGCAGGAACGTGTCTAGTCACCGGAAGATCGGCAAAAGAGCTGGTCTACACTGGAGCTTTCATCCAGCGCCGTGAGCATCGCGGAGCAGCGGGTCACTCCTGGCTCTGCGCCTCTGGCACTCTCCGGTGGCTGAGATGTGTGATGCGTCATCCCTGATGTCGCAAGGCCAGGGGCTGAGTTTGGGATGGAGTGGAGCATCACGCTTCGTTGCACCTCAGAGTAGGCATGGCCTCCACCGTGCACTGGAAGCACTGGACGCCTCGCTTCGCCTTGCCCACCCCTTTCGGCTCGAGTTTGTCCCAGATTAGCTAAGTGACGCTCAGAGCACTCAAAGCCTCTACAGCCTCGACACGATGGCCGACTTGACGTCTGTGGCAGCTCCCCCAAGCCCCGCCAAAGTGGACGGCAATGCCATCGTGGAAGACCCGAAGGCCTACAACACCGAGAAGGCCACGGTCAAGTCCGAGCAGCCGGGCACAACCGTGGAGCGGGAGCCCAGTGGCATTATCCTTTTCTGGCTTTGCTGTGTCAGCGCCCTGGAGGGCTTGGACACCCAATTAGTCCCAGCGTGCCAGTTCGCCTTGCAAAGAGATCTTGGACTCAGCCTTGGGCACTTCGCCATCTTGACCACGGTGCAGATGGTGCTCACCAACCTCGCAGCACCCTTCTGGGGAATCCTGGCCGATCGCGGAACCATGAAGAAGAAGCACATTTTGTTCGTCGGCGCATTGGGCGAGGGCCTCGCGGTCGCCATCTTTGCCTTCGTCCCCAACTTCTTTGTCATGGTCCTCCTGCGCGGCATGAGCGGCTTCTTCTTGGCCTCGCTGCGACCGGTCTGCAACGGGCAGGGGCCTCAGTGTCGCGCAAGCCGTAGGTAGGCGGATTGAAATTGAGCTTTCTCTTGATGCCTCTTGCCTCTTCCTCTTTCCTGTCCTGCGCAGACTCATCGCGGATCTCACCTCGGACAATCGTCGGGGCAAGATCTTCGGCCGGGTTCAGAGTGCGCTCCTCTTTGGCATGTTCTGCTCCCTCCTCATCGCGGGCAACGTGGCGAACCCGTATGTGGGTGAAATCCCCGGCTGGCGCTTCCTCTTTGCCGGTGCAGGCCTTGTGGCCTTCTGCGTGGCTGCTGGTGTCGCGGGCTTCCTGGTGGAGCCACCGCACGAGCTGGATGCCGCTGCGGACAAGAAGGGCTGTGCGGCCGTGCTCTCAGAGCTCAAAACGGTCTTCAACTTCCTCTGCATCCCCACTTTCTGCGTCATGATCATGCAGGGGGTGTTCGGCACCATCCCTTGGAGCGTCATGGGCAACAACTTGCTCTACTTCAAGCTCTGCGGCCTGGAAGACTGGGAGGCGAGCATTTTGGCCTCGGAGGGCACTGTCATGGGTATGTTCGGCAACATCATCGGAGGGATGGTTGCTGATGCCCTGGCCCGGCGCTTTGGCTACCACGGCCGGCCCCTGAGCGCACAGATTACCGTGGCCATTGGCATTCCCCTCGTCTTCCTGCAGTTCTACGGTATCCCTGCTGGCTCGGGAAGCTTCGGGACCTACTTCGCCCTCATTGCCGGCTTCGGTGTCTTGGGATCCTGGGCCCAGTCCGGAACCAACTTCCCCATCCTGTCTGACATCGTCCCCGCCAGCGATCGAAGCAAGGTCATGGCTTGGGAGTGTGCCGGGCCTGGGATTACGAGCGAATCTGAAGCAGCTTGCCCTCCCTCGACACTTTTTCCAGTCTCCGGTCCTCTCCTGAGGTGCCATGGAAAACTCATTGGCAAATGCCATTGGCCCCGCCATGGTGTCCACCTTGGCCACCGGTGTGCCCAGGCAGAAAATCTTGAGAAAGCATGGATCGAGAGAGAGGGAGAGAGGGAGGGGGATAGAGAGAGAGAGAGAGAGAGAGAGAGAGAGAGAGAGAGGGAGGGGGAGAGAGAGAGACGTTCTGTACAGTCATTAAATCGAAAAGATCTCGACCGAGACTAGACTCTGGGGGTAGAGCTTTGGCTTGGGACGCTCGTGCTTGCTGAGGTCTTTGGTTACACCTTTGGTGAGGAGGAGAAGAGCGGAAAGTCGCTTCACTCTGCGACAGCTCTGGGAAGTGCCCGTGTACCCAGCTGAGGGCGCTCTCTGTGCCCGTAGGAGTTTCAACGCGCGGGGTCTGAGGAATCTTCGACCTGAGAGGGTCCAGATTCTTGCTGAGGCGATGGCGGCCACCATTTGCATTCCTTGGCTAATCACCCTGGCAGCAGCTTGGCTCGCAGGAACTGTGGTGGCAAGGCTGGTAGAAGTGATGCAGTCCAATGCAGTCCACTCGTGAGGCCTACACACTGCTCCACTGGAGTTATCCTCGAGACATGCGCCGCCTCCGTGCAAAGCAGCAGGCGGCCACCGAGGCCCAGGCCGGGTTAGGCGCCTTGAGACTCTTCAGGATCCCAGCAAGCTGCGGAAGATCTCTCAGGTGTAAGCTGCCCCGACGGTGCGACAACCACCACCCAGGTTGCTGCCCTCGGAGAGGCAGGAAACTCTTTGAAGAGCATGCAACATTCAGCTCTCTACACATGCATGTAGTCGCACCCATATTTTGTATGCAATGTATAATATATTGTAAGGTAATGTAACGTACTGTAATATGCCGTACGATTGTGACGATAGTGTAATGTGCTGTAATGTGATGTTGTAATGTAGTGCAATGCAATGTGCTGTGCTGTGTCATGTGTAATGCGTAATTTGTAGCGTTATGTACGGAAATGTGCAATGCGATTTGCGGACATGTTTCATGTAATGTGTGCTGCAATATACATTGCGTAGTGAAATGCAAGTGTGTATGTACATGCGGACTGCTCAAGCTGAGCCCCTAGGACGAAAGCGATAAGGAGACACAAAAACCGGCCTTAAGGTTTTTTCCGAAGGTTAGGGTGAAGAGTTCGTGTTGAAGGGTTTAGGCTTTGCAAGTACATCAAGGCTTTAGCGGCTTTTCTAGTCTGGGGTAGCTGTGTGGCACGAGCCCGCGGAGCAGTTGCTGCTTCGGTTCCTGGAATATGAAACCACAAGACATCGCAAAGCCTTGCGCGTGAAGAGACTTGGGTCCCAGAGCCCACCAGTCTGTAAAGTAAAGAAGCAGGTTAGGGTTTTGTTCAGTGCATGTGGGGTTCCCCGACACATCCGGGTTTCGGATGTTTTCTGGTTGGGACTTGTGATCACAGGTTCGGGGTTAGGGTTTCGGAGGGAGGGTGAATGCAAGTTGTGAAGATGATTGGGAGCTGACAATTTGATAGCAGAATTGGAAGATCATTCTCGGGTGTGCGGTCAAGTTGGACACGCCGCTAGCTATCTATTCGAGACTCCTGGGATTTTTGCATGGCACGAGGAGTAGCATGCCCACTTCACATCAGCTGTTCATAGCTCTTGGTAGCAATACTGATACTGCTTCTCTATGTGAAGTAGCACTTCCGACATCAGGGTCACATGAAGCCGCATTTCTACATGCCGTGGCTCCGGAAGGACGGGACACAGAACGACAGCATCTGTGCAGAGTCTGCGCTTGGGCTGCAACGGTATGCACGACTTGTGTCAGCACATGATGCATGGAAGGAGATGCTGTAGGCTCTTGTGAGAAGCCGTCTTCTTGTCTTCTTGCATAGTGCAGGGTGAAGAGATGGGTGAAGAGATCATGTGCGGATTGATGCCACAACGTTCCGACAGCTGTTTCAGCCCCTCCTGGTCCTCCACATATTTCCCTCGCCTTATCAACTTTGCGATGGCTCGCTCCTCGAGTGTCCTTGCCGGTGGCCTTCTTGGCGCCGCCTCTTTGGGAGGCCTTGCCTTCGTGGCACCCGGGCAGAGCCGTCCTCAGCCCGTTCAGCAGCAGGTTGCCCATGCGCAGGGATTCCTGGCATCCACTGGCACCAGCACCAGCAGCACGGGTGCTGTGCAGGGCATGGCTGGTGCCTTGGCCGTGGCCGGCTTGAGCGTTGCCGCTGTGCGAGGCGCATCGGCTGCTTCCCGCCAGCAGGGCGTCAAGCCTCGGGCAGCCAAGAGCGTCGTCGCATGCAGGTCCTTGGCCAAGCTGAAGATTGACGGAGTGGACCTGAAGGACAAGCGAGTCTTCATCCGCGTCGACTTCAACGTGCCTCAGGATAAGAAGGACCCGAACATCATCACCAACACGGCCCGAATCGATGCCGCTCTGCCCACCATCAAGTACGCCCTGGACAACGGTGCCAAGTCCGTGGTGCTTTGCTCGCACTTGGGCCGCCCCAACGGCCAGAAGGACGAGTTCTCCGGTTTGGGGTTTAGGGTTTAGCGCATTGCAGTCCCTGCTCAAATAAGGGTTTAGGGTTTAGGGTTCCGAAACCCTAAACCGCATCCTGCTGTCTCAACTTTCACTTTCATTTTGAGGGACAAAGTCCTTGCTGCTTATGTGGGCGACCTCACACGTCGGCGCGGCCGAAGCATGAGGTCGCCCAATGGGCAGCGAGGACTTTGGCATCCTGCTGTCTTCAACTTGCGTTTTCCGTTGCAGGACGAGAAATTCTCCATGAAGCCAGTGGCCAAGGTGGTCGAGGAGAAGCTGGGACGGCCCGTGAAGCTGATGAACGACGTGGTCGGGGAGGAGGTCGAGGCTGCGTGCGCCGACCCCGAGCCGGGCACCGTGATCCTGCTGGAGAACTCCCGGTACTACGTCGAGGAGGAAGGCAAGGGCAAGGATGCTGATGGCAACAAGGTGAAGGCGTCGGCCGACAAGGTGAAGGAGTTCCGCGCATCCCTGGCCAAGCTGGCAGACATCTACTGCTCCGATGCCTTCGGCACTGCCCACCGTGCTCACAGCTCCATGGTCGGAGAGGGCTACCCCGTGAAGTGCTCTGGCTTCCTCCTGGCCAAGGAGCTCGACTACTTTGCCAAGGTGGTGGACGCGCCCACCAGGCCGGTGTGCGGCATCCTCGGCGGAGCGAAGGTCGCCGACAAGATCCAGCTGATCATGAACCT